GAAATCTGGTAGCCATGTGGTCCAAGACAATAAAATGTGTGTCTGCTCTGTGAGTTTCAAGCAACAAAGTGTAGGAACCTTCACACAAACACAGTCTCGGTCCACATCCTTACAGCGGACAACTACAGCGTATCTGGAAATACAGAGGCAAATGATCTCTCTGTCAACTTCACACAGAGAACAAGATGAGGTTAGCTTACTTTGGCTGTAAACCACTGGCACAACTGGTTCAAATGAGTGCTCTGCTTCTTACTGCAGAATTATGAGCCAGATATGCCATTTAGCCAATTGCTGGACACTGTCCCCAGTGATTGACCATAAAACTGTCAACATGTGTTAATACCATGGTGTAATGTTGTGCAAAGCAACTGGCAAGATATTTTGAACATTTTGAGCATTTTTCAATTTGGTTTCCCTGTATTAGAACGAATTGACACAACTGTATCAACAATGCTTTGACAACAGAAAATCGGTTTTGCTGCCAAATCTAAAAGAACCACAGCTGAAATAAAATCAAAGCCATACTGTGAACATGACTGACTAACAATACAACAATGCTGTGATCAGAATTTGTGTGAAATGTGTGAGACCGATTGGTAACTCGAGTGTCGGGAGGAGGGAGTGCTGATGGGAAAGCAGACGGTGATAAGACTGAGTGACTTTCTTCTGGGATTGAGTGGGGAGCCACCGACAGTTGTGACATCCCCTCAACAACATTTTCACAGCTAATTAAATTGGGAACTAAGCCACAGAGAAAGACATAGTTTAGAAAATGTGCTTGATGTGCCATACTGTCTCCAGACAACTTACTACAGGATCTTTTGCAACACAACTGCTGGAGAAAAATCTGGGAACAGATGTCAAGGCAGATTTGCTTTCTTTCTGCAGAGCTGAGAAAAGTTTTCTGTTAGTAAAGTATTTCTTTGTATCACTGCAAGTCACTGTATCTGTTTCAACAGATCTATACAATGCCACAGTCATGAATGCTTTTGACTTGTATAAACCGTCCAATATACCGCTTCCAGCTCTTCATCTGCAATACTTTAGAGTCCAGGGTTTGAATCAAGGAGGATTTCATTAACTTTAATTTAATTTAGGTGTGTTCTGGAAACAGGCTCACAGTTTAGGCAGAGAGGGGAATCTGAAATAACTGTGAGAGAGAGAACTAGAATGTGGAAGTGGGTTCGGCAGAAATTATCAGCAAAAACACAAAGTAACCAAATTAGAATTTTGTTTGTTATTGTTGTTTTTGGAGGGCCCCTTCCTTTCTTCCTCTCTCTCTTTCATGAACACAGACACACACACAGAATGTTCACACACACACACACACACACACACACACACACAAACACACACACACAACTGTTTGGTTGCCATCTCTCCTATGTCATTTTGAATTCTCGAGCCACCTGTTTCACGGCCTCATCAGAGCAAGTGATGACAGGAGGATGAGATGGGGGGAGAGAGGGAGGAGGAGCGAGGGGAAGGGTGAAGGACAAGGGACTCAGCATTGTCCAGCTAGAGTCGCTGCAAAATAAGGGTAAATTAAAGACAGGTATTGTCAATATTTTAAACATTGCCTACTCTTTTAACCTCATGTGAACACATATGTATTTTTTCTCTTGTCAGCTGTAGATTGAAAACTAGACTAAGATTGTACAGCTATGCAAGCAACTCTGCTGTGAGGCTGTACGTCAGTGCTAAGTATAGGAAAAAAGGAAATTTTGCCCTGACCATGACACTTCATGAAAAGTCATCAAAGCAGTTATATTTCATGTGAACCTCACAGTGGGACAAGAAGAGAGTCACCACCGATTTATCCTCTGGGAACGATGAATGTCTATACAAAATGTTATGTCAATCAGGGGTTCACGTTATGTGGAAGCCAGTGGAACCTGAGCTCCCAAGAAGAGGTCTGAGTTCCTATCGAAGCAGGTCACTAATACGTCACTAAAAAACATTATTTTAATTACAAATAATGGATTTTTCCATATAATGATTATTACTTCTCTCTGTATTTACTGCTTGCCTTGTATTGGATTTCCGACTAGCAAAAAAAAAATTGCATCTTCCCAGTAGTGAAGCACTTCATAGGGTAGGGTACTGTGCAGAACTTAAAATAATAATTGCTGGAAAATAAGCAAGAAACTCAAAAGAAAGGGCGCCTGGTTAGCTCAGTGGGTAGACCTGGCGACCCATGTACCGAGGCGGAGTCCTTGCTGCAGCGGCTCAGGGTTCGAATCCGACCTGCGGCCCTTTGCTACGTGTCATCCCCTCTCTCTGTCTATCTTTAGCTGTCACTATCATAAAGGCAATAAAAAGCCCCAAAAAATACTTACAAAAAAAAAGAAAAGAAAAAGAAATTCAAAAGAAAGTTGTACATATTGAGAAGGTTTTCATTCTCTATAAATAATGAAAGAACTAGGCAATGGCAAAAAGTCCCATGTATTCCCCTATCAGACCACAGGCTACATTAGATTGAGCTCAACTACAAAAGCTGACCACTTTTCAGTGCAGTGTAGAACAAAAAGCATAGTCATTTCCTCTTGCTGTCTTCAGTCTCTCCCTCTGGCCAGAGACCTGCGGCTGGATGCAGATGAAGAATGACACTGACAGACCAGACCCTCAGCGCTGCATGGGAAAACTGTTTTCCCAAACCCACTCAACCGACCACAGGTAGCATTGCCGGGGCACCTTCAACCACAAACTCATGCTAAATATAAAACCATTGTTATTGCTTGCAGTACATTTTACTACGAAGAACAAAAAGACAAGGGGCAAAAAGAGCTGATGTAATGTAATACGCGCTCTCCTCTGGTTGATACTGGGGGAGAGAATCCACCAGACAGCTAGGGGACAGGATCAGACCCTGTGGAGCCTGTTAGGAAACAGCTTTAATTCATACCAAATCATCCCACCACAGCTGCCCGCCTTCCCTCTGTTCCCAGGCAGGAGACATGTGAGCCAGATACAATGAGACAAACTTGTGTCATTTAAAAAAGGCAGCTGTCCCATTTTTAGCTCCGCAAAGCTCCAGCTGAGTCATAGTCAGCTTCTGTGACAAAAGACTGAGGAACAAATACGAGCAGAAAAATGACAGTCAGCCAAACACAGTAAGATCTGGATGAGAAAAATATGAGAAAAGAGTGTGGGTAATTTTAAGAGCGCAGCTCAAAAGGCATGTCATGTGTGAGTAAGGAAGAAAAGTACATACGTGTTTGGCTAATTACAGATTCACTAGCAAACAATAACATTGTCTTCTACATTTGTTAGTGTTACAAAGAGCTATTGTTTTAGATTTAAAGTGGACTATTATAATACAGTAAAGTCAACATCGCTAGCATCACCGCCAGGCCAACAAAAATAGCAAAAATCCAAGGTATTTTTCTGGTTCGGGTTCAAACACTGACTAACAGTATGTGGTAAGAATGTGAATCTCCAAACCGGGGGTGAATGTCTCTCCTGCTGCCATGAATGTACTTGAAGAATAATAGACAAATATTGCTGTGTATATTACTGTACTGTTAGAGAAAACACAGAATGGTGGCTCTAATATTAGAGTAACAAGACAGAATATCTGGAATTACTCCAACAACAAGAGACTGTCCGCAGAGTCAGCATTTTATTTGTGATTTTACATTCAATTAACTTTTTTTTATTGTTTTGCTACTGAGTATATAAAGGAAAATAAAGGAATATAAATCCCTGTTGATTGGCTCAAGTTAGATTCACTGGCAGTTATAGTATGTATAAAATATAAAAGTAGAATAGAACAGACTGTGACATAACATTACTAATAAGATGTAACTATTTCCATTCTCAGGTGTCTAAAAACAGACAAAGTTTTCAGGGCCTGATTCAAGTTTTCTCCTCTGTCTGCCAGCTTTGTGATGGAGGTATGACTCTGCGAAGTGCAGTGTTATCTTTTTCCCATTTAAATGCTAATGAGTGTGCTGCCGTACTAGTCAAAGCGCTGCAGAAACAGTGTGAATTTTTAATATCTTATCACACCAAAAGGTAACAGCTCTCCCAGTGAGGTGGAGGGATGAGTACATGTTCCCTCATTAAATTCTACACAAACGATGTGTCCCTCAGAGAGCGCTGAGGGCCAGTCTGTGTGCCACGGCATCCTCAGCTCTGCGTGTGTGTGTTGTTAGTGTGCTGTTCATGGTCAATTGTGTAAGGATGTGTGCCACTCACTTCTGTCCTTGTCATTTAGATGTGTACGTACGTGCAGATGTGCGCAGCAGTGTGCGGGTGCACTTGATTTTTCACCTCATCAGTAATGAACAGCTGTTAATTGCCTCCCCATCATGTGGTGGAGCCAGCAGACAGAGGTTAAGGTTGTCACAGCCTGTTAATAATTACCTTCCATTGCTGGTGGAGTCATTGATGGCAAAAGGTTGGAGGAACATTCATTGAATGTAATGAAACTCATATGAGAAAATGACCTCTGCTCTTCTACTGCCTGGATTTGTATTCCCCGCTGCCACCTGTTTCCATGAAAACCACCAGTGTCTTCTTCTCAGAATGTAAATGTTAATGTAGTTGTGAATGATTTCCTTGTTATAGAGTTGCAGTGGATAAATAAATGTGAAATGGTTCTTATGAGCAATCCTCAGAGAGCTCAGATAACAATAATCTATTCAGCATTGCCTTCATGTCCTCCAGAAAAATGACAACATTTTTAAATAGATACGTTCAACTTGGAGTCAGACTCACATTGGCAGGTTTAGTGTGGCTGATAAAAGTGAAGCATTTGTGTTAAAGTGTTGTGATGTAATATCTGGAACAAACATAAAACTTCTCAAGAGAAAGAAGAATAAAGTGACCCACCAGCAGTATTCAAACTCAGATTTATAAACCTGGCATCTCCTCCGCAGAACAAAAGGCCCAAACGTCACTTTTTCACAGAACTCCTCTAAATGTGTTGCCTCTGTGGTCTGGCACCCAATGGTGATCTTTGGTTTCAACATTATCTTTCACATTTTACTCCTCAGATAGCTGCCGGAGAAAGCAACGCTGGAGGAAAAAACTGGAAAGCATGAGGGACTTTTATGAAGGCGTGCGCTCCTCAAAGCCAGGATTCAATAATTGCTTTCCTCTTGTCTCACGCAAGTGACAGATGGTGAGGCCACCAGAGGCCTGAAGATGGGAATAATATTGTTGATTAAAAAGAAATATAGGAAACAACATGCAGCTGTTGGCTACAATACAGACGAGGGAAGACAAAAAAGAAAGAGGAAAGAGAGAAAATAGGACTAGATGGAGCTTGGGAACAAGTATCAGTAATGACACAATTAAACTTGGCTGGTCCACACACATTTGGATTGGAGATTGTTTGAACTGCCGATATGTGAAGTTTGGGGGTAGAGATTTTATTGTTTGACTGATTTATTCTTGGTGAGTCCTGCGGGATTGGGAGTTGTGTTCCAGATATTTATGAAAGTAGTTATTTATTTGGCTCTGTGCAGTCTGGTGTTCAGACCACCCTTCAAACATGAACGCCCACCTGCATATGTTACGCTGTGTGCCTGTTTGTGCTCGTGTGTGAGGGGAAAAAAGAAAAGAGTCTTGATGATTTTTCAAGAGTGCCTAAGATTTAGATGGACTAAAACATATCAATATCTTCTGCCTTGTGTGCGTGAGCTGGTAAGTGTGAGGGTAATTGTTTCCCAGAGCTCTTTGCTGGTATCAAGGGAAATTTAACACTTTTAATGGCAAATGCTGATGCTGAGCTCTGTTCCTTTTTCTGCTATGAGCATCAAAGCCTGGAGTCACACTGCGAAGCCTCTTTTGCATAGACTAATGTAGTAATTGTCTTTCTTAGGCATCTTTCAAAGGACAGAAAACTTAAAGTCACAGCCAGAGATCCAGTATCTTTTTAGTTCACATCCATCATAAAGCTGCTGACTCCACCAATCCAATTTATGATCCCCGTCAACACAAATGTTACAAAAAGACTGAAAGTATAGAAATTTGTGACAAAGTAAACGGCAAAATAAACATAAATTAAAGTCATACATCACCAGTTTGGTTATTTTAAATGGAGTACAGATAAGTTTCAGTGAAATCGCCACCCAGTCAGTTTAGGTGCAGGTTTAATGGTTTAACACTGTAACGTTATCTTTCCCGTGAACTAGGAAACACAGAACAGTAACAGGAAACAATAAATCTGCTCTACAGCCATGATTCAATAACAGAAAGTCTTTGTATCCTCCAAATTCCTCTCTGATGTTATACATTTCTGCAATAGTAATGTCCCTAAGACTGCATGAAACCAGAGCTACTGTATTTATCATTTATGGAATAATAAGCATGCACACTGGGCGTCAGCTGCGTTGTGCGTTGACTGGATAAGAAGCAAAATAAGCCAGTGTGATCAGGGGAGGGATCGAGTGAGATTAAAAGATTTAAGGCTCCATTTGCCCATGAATATCTGATGCCTATCTGAGGCGAGAGCCAGTGATCCTCTGTCAGGTCGTGAGGTGTCAGAGGAAATCTACCTTATCTGCATCTGGCCACTTTTCAACAGTTTCTTATGTGAATGTGCCGCCACATTCCTGTTGTGCCGAAGAGTTATGCAGCAGCTGTTTGCATCAAATGAAAACTGTTCCTCTCATCTTAAATCATTGTCGACTTGGTTGCTTGTTTGCCTGCAAGTCAAAATATAGTAAGTGATTCATACTTCATTCAAAAAGCCAACACTGTTCCATACTGTGAGACTGCCAATAGCAGCAGATACTGAACAATTGTTTGGCTCAGACCTGCCATCTGAAAGCTTCTCAGCACAATTCCATGTTGGCTCCAGTCGGCAAATAAAAATCAGTAGCTGGCAGCCACAGGCTAATCAAGTTGTTAAATGACCTCAGTCCTATTTTGATACTTACACAGCCCAAAAAAAAAAAAAGCTTCCTCTGGACAGTGCAAAGAATACCCCCCCCTCTAAAACTGAACAGAAACAAAGTACAATTTTAAGACCTTATTGTTTGGACACATGGTTGTGACATTGTTACAGCAAAGTATTGCTTCTCTCAGACAAAATTAAGACTACCCAAGTTCCCATGTGTCCTGTATTACAGTGAGTATGTGTGTTTTGCATTGTTTATTCTGCAATAAAGTCATTATAGGGGTATTTGAATTGGAAACCTTACACTGTCTGGGAGCTTGTGCCTGTGTGCCTTTGCTTGTTTTATATTAATCTATCTTTATCTTAATCTTTATCTTAATATATCTACTTTCTGGGGACAAAGATAAATGCTAATAGAAATAAAAACAAATTGCATAATGTCCGCCTACTGCAGGCTTTAATTTCAACTCAGTGAATCAACTACAGATCACACTGACAGAGTATAAAGTGCAGATGTAGCCTAAATGCAACAGTGTTCCCACACTTTATAGGAAAAAAATAAAAACACGGTACGGGAGTTGTGATATGATAATTAAATACCAAGACACTGGAGACGCATGCGCAAATGTTGCCAACTGCTTTTAAGGTAATTTAAAAACCAAAAGGTACATTTTTTTAGGGGGAAAAAGATATTTATGTTATTATTCTAGCAGAAGATTTAGTAGAACTCCTCCTAATGTTGAAGTGATAATCCCCACATCTCCTCCAGCTGCCCTTCATCCCACTTGTACAGCTTGTTCTTCATCGTTTTCAGCGAGTTTACCTCTGTAGCCCCTCTGGAGTGTATGAAGATGCAAAGCAGACTTGTTTTGTGCTAGATTTTGGGGCGGAACGGAGCGCAAGGATGCTAAGGTAGGTTCCCTCCCCCATGGGTGTGTTCAGTGCCGGGAGACCTCAGTCTATCCACCTGCAGAGCCGCTTCCCTGCACTACACACTTGAGCGCCACTGCGCACGACAGAAGCACCGCACTGCCACCACTCATCTCCAGGAGCAACTCTTTGTTTCTAACCTCCTCCTGTGGACAATACAGAATCTGTTGATGCGATTTAGAGATCACTTCAAGTTAAGGCGGCCGCGTCAAGTTAATTTTAAATCCAAGCTTTGTTTGGCTCTGGGATAATCGTGCAGAATCTGCGGCGGATACACTGATACTCTGCGTGCGGACAGAGGAGCTCAAAGGATCTGGGTGGAGGGTTTTAAATGTTGACCAGCTTTATCACAATATTCACTGGACGTAACTAGAAGGTAAGTCATAGTGCAAGTGCTATTTTGACACATGACAAATCAAATGTATTATTTGTATTGAGACTGGTGCGCATATAGGCAGCCACATTTGGTGGAGTCGAGCAATAAGACTGATTCCTGCGCTTCATGTGCAAGATAGAAGGCTCTAATATATAAAAAGTGTTTTAAAAGTTCTGTCACATAATTTTGTATAACTTTGAATATTGTTTATTTTAAGCAATTATTTATCTTAATGTATTAATTTATTTGTTGGTGTGTCTTTCCAGGAAGCAGTTTTAAATGAACTATAATTTCAAACACAAATTTCTAATACTGCAAGAGCTAACACAGTAGGTGTGTGTGTGTGTGTGTGTGTGTGTGTGTGTGTGTGTGTGTGTGTGTGTGTGTGTGTGGCGGGGGGGGGGGGCTTTCAGTGCACTGAAAGTTTTTTGCTGCATGTGATGCTGTATATATCTTCACAGAGATTATTCCCAGTGATTGAATGTATGTCCTCAATGTCAGTTTTCACATTATCTTAAAATTCCAGTTACTCTTATAAATGACACGTGGTTCATGTTCATGTCCTCATAACTCAAAGCACAGTCACGCTTTATTTTGGTTAAGGGATCTGCTTTGGAGTTCTGCCTTCGGGGGGCTCAATGTGGAACTTGATCTTAAACCCTGACTGACAGTTTGACCCCAGACTCAGATCCACGTTTACGAGTAGATATCAGATCAGTGCCATGCATGGAGAATAATTACAGCAAACCGCTCTCACTGAAATTGTTTCATTGGATACAAAACGTGGCACAGATATTTCATTCTATAAGTTGTTGGGGTTTTTTGCGTGCTGGTATTTCGCACAGTCGTGCCACCGCGTCCGCACGCTGATAACTTGAGTCATCATCCGATCCTTTTATGGGGATATTATTAACTTCAGCTCCCTTTGTGGCGGATAACAGCGTGTTGATGCGCTTTGTGATTTAATCTGTGAGCACTGCCAGTGCGCGCCAGGCTTAACGCGCAACTCCGTGTAGCCTACTACTGGGGGGGATTCAGCTCTTGCTTTTTAATCGTAATAATAATGCTTTACCAGGTATTTGCACAATTCTGTATGAAAAGTAGAGAGAGTGAGGAGCTCCTTCTGGCTCTCCCAGCTGGAAGGAGACTCCGTCCATTCAGACTGTTGCCCTTAAAGCACACAGAAGCCGACACAGACAAGAATAACTGTGGGCGGTTAGGAAAGGCACATTCATAAGAAAATCCATCCAGTAGCAATGATGACAATTCAATTCTGAACCAGCAGAGTTTCCTTCTAAGCCCTCGGGTTCTATGGTTCAGGTTTTGCGGTTTTGGGTAAGTTACTTGGTGTCTTGGTCGTGTTGGACACCATAATGAAATTAGGACTCATGTCAGGATTTTAAACATTTTGATTCTCCCATATGATATCCAACCAATAGCTTGTGCACAGCAGATCCAGAAACAGATGCAGTTTTTAGCTTTGTGTCTTAGTCCCTGCTCTGTCTCATCAGTGTATGGCCTCAGTACCAAAAAACCTAATGCTGTGTGACTATACGAAAGCAAACTGATTCTTTATGGCAGCTCAGTGACCGACGATTAGTCGCTGCAGCTGGTTTGTGAGGTGGAAGCACGGCCTCATTGTTGTCCCATTTTGTCCCTCAGCTCCTGGACTCTCCTTCTCCTCTGTTAACAAACAGAGGAACAATGTTGTGGGACAAACTGTGCTGGCTACTGGCCCTGCTGGCCCTATCATCCGGGGCGCTAACCCCCTCCAACGAGCCCCTCTCTGCTCCCAGGATCTTCCTGTCCTTCAAAGGTAAGGCACTCAAAATACTGCTGTATCTGTGACCCAGTTTGTTTGGTTCTGTGTTTCTCTACAGACATGTAGATGTGATCGCTGGTGTAACACTCACTTCTGTCACCGGCCTTTTATCTCTCGGTCTTGTTCAATAACTGGAATGGGTAAACTATTGGCACTGGCTGAACTCAGAGCTTGGCAAGCCTGGCATTTATTCCTTCACTGCCTAACAGAGAGTTTGATTGTGTGTCGGTGTGAGAGAGGCATGATGAGAGGGACGAGGAGATGTGCTGCTGATTGTCCTGACTATTCAGGGCCAGAGAATATGTCTTCATTTAATCGCCCGGCTGCTATTAGTTCCCCAAACAGCCCTTTGTGTGACCTCGGCTCCCTTCTGAAATCAAGTCAGATTTAACACTTGGCTGGGCACACACTCAGGGCGCAGATCCAGCATGTTATGAATGTTTGCCAGTGCCACATGAGACCCTGTGTGTGTGTTGAACTGTCCTGTTAAAATAGGTCTCAGCGGTGCAGTCTCTGGTGCTTTGTCCTTCCAGCGCCGGTGTGGCCGCCGTGTCCATGTAAAGCTCTTGAGGTTTTATAGTAGGGCTACCTGCCTCTGAAGGAGATTTAAATAAGCATTTCACAAGTTCAGATTCCTGTCTTGTCATGAGATTACAACACATCAGTTGTGTGGAGGTTGAACAATTGGAATTGGAGTAATCTGTGGAAATCACATGGAAAATCATGTTTTTTAGGGCATTTATAATCTGTCAGATGTTTCTAGTGTGTATTTGTCAAGATAACCCAGTCCTGGAATAGCAGAAATATTTTATTTGCTTACATTTTTTTATTGTTACCTCATGTCGAGGTCTCTTGAAAACTTTAAACTGAGAGCTTTCTTAGTTTCTCCCTCTTGCTCAGATATTTTGCTTACCTGTTTGTTTTCTCTCTCTTCATCCCTCAAATCCCATCTCTTTCTCCCTGTCTCTAATCAAGTTGGATTTCACACTCGGCTGGTCTCACATTTACTTGGTAGAAAAGAGTTCATCTATTTTCTTCTTCTTTTAATTGAGTTCCTTTTTGTTTTTAATTAGTTTTGGAGGTTACTTTATGCCTCACGGAGCAACTTCAGATAGCTGGAGACTAGAAATGCACCTAAGCTGTGCATTGCCTAATTGTATCGGTTTTGCACCGTACTGTTGGGAATAGCTCTGTAATGTGCTTTTATTAATTTTTTATGTGCTCATGTACTTAACCAAATAATTGGCTTTAGGTTTCATGATATCTGTCTAGTGCTGGCATAAAGATTTGTTGTAATAAATGCTTTTTGATAACATAATAAATCCGTCAAATTTGTAATAAGCATTTCAGTTTTGATGATAAAACAAAACAAGGAGACAAGCTACAAATGTAGGCAACTGTAGCTGCTAATAGAATCAGTTTTTTTTCTTACTGCATTGTTGAATTTCTTTCTGTCTGTGACCTAGCCTTACATGTTTATCCATAAAGGTTACACAGTATCACTTCCAACTGATTATTTGGATTTTATATTCTGGTAGAGAAGATTTTGTTGGTTTTGGCTGAAATCCAAGACTTTGACACAAGAGAACCAACATTTTGTCTTTGCTTTTCAAATATTTGCCCTCTATCAAAGCCAAAGACAACGGGTTAT